AAAAAAAAAGTACCGAGTAAGAGTCGTTAGGCGAAAGGGGGGGGAAAAAGGGAAATTAAATCAAAACATCAAAGACTCGAAAGAAAGGACAGAGAAGAGAAAAGAGTGTCTGTCAGCACGTAAAATAAATAATAACTAGGAGAGAAAAAAAAAAAAAAAAAAAAAAAAAAAGGGACCGAGGTGGAATCAGAAGGTGGGCCAGGTGGGACAGTAGCATGAGTTCGTATTTCGCGAATTCGTACATCCCTGACCTGCGTAATGGCGGGGTGGAACACCCGCATCAGCATCAGCAGCACTACGGTGCGGCCGTCCAGGTGCCCCAGCAAACGCAGTCGGTGCAGCAACAGTCCCAGCAGGCCGGTGACCCGTGCGACCCGAGCCTCCTACGTCAGGGCGTTCCCGGCCACCATTATGGGGCGGCAGGCAGTCAACAAGATATGCCTTATCCGAGGTTTCCGCCCTACAATCGGATGGACATGCGTAACGCGACGTATTATCAGCACCAACAGGACCACGGGAGCATGGACGGGATGGGTGGTTACAGGTCGACGTCGCCCAGTCCCGGTATGGGCCACATGGGGCACACGCCGACCCCTAACGGGCATCCGTCCACCCCGATTGTATACGCGAGTTGCAAGCTTCAGGCGGCCGCGGTCGATCACCAGGGTAGCGTGCTCGATGGACCGGACAGCCCGCCTTTGGTCGAGTCGCAGATGCACCACCAAATGCACACGCAACACCCCCACATGCAGCCACAGCAGAGCCAGCACCAGTCGCAACAGCAGCAGCATCTTCAGGCGCAGCAGCAGCACATGATGTACCAGCAGCAGCAGCAGACGCAGGCGGCCTCGCAGCAGTCGCAGCCTGGCATGCACCCGCAACAGCAGCCGCAAGCTCAGCAACACCAAGGGGTGGTCACGTCGCCGCTTAGTCAGCAACAACAGGCCGCGCCTCAAGGCGCGGCCAGCGCCAACCTACCTAGCCCGCTATACCCGTGGATGAGAAGTCAATTCGGTAAGATGGAATTTGCGGCGTGGAGAAAACGTTTGAAATTTTGCTCTAACAACCTTGATTATGTGATGGGATTATTGGTTTGGAGAGTTGTATAAGATGTATGTATATTTGTAATTCGAGATTAGCAGGCTTGATTGAATATTGAAGAGGTTGGATGAATGGTGATTCAACTATTTTCAACTTTGTTGTTATGTACTTTGAGGTTAGGAAGCTTTGCTGTCTCTTGAAGAGGTTCATGGTAGGCTGTTCAAAATATATTGCATATTACATGAACTTGAGTATTAACATAAACTTGTATAATTTCTTGATAAAGATAATAGATTAGATCATTTGTGGATCTGTATATTCCCAACTGAATTTTGAAGTGGTTTCTAACCTATATAAACGTAAAAGATTTTAGAATAATTTAATTTTGATAGTCATATAGGTTAAAAAATTTTGTAAGATAACGTACCCATAAATTTAAGTAGAGAGGCTTTAAATTATTCTGCATTCAACATCTAAAGTTGTAGAGCAAAAGGAAAATTTCTTGATAAAGATTAGATCATTTGTGGATCTGTATATTCCCAACTGAATCTTGAAATATGTTTTGATAATAGTTTCTAACCTATAAACATAAAAGATTTTAGAATAATTTAAATTTGACAGTCATATAGGTTAAAAAATTTTGTAAGATAACGTACCCATAAATTTAAGTATAGTAGAGAGGCTTTAAATTATTCTGCATTCAACATCTAAAGTTGTAGAGCAAAAGGAAAAATTTGTATACATTTGCTTTTGCATGTTACATGAACTTGTATATTAAGGGAAACTTGTACAATTTCTTGATAAAAATTAGATCATTTGTGGATCTGTATATTCCCAACTGAATCTTGAAGTATGTTTTGATAATAATTTCTAACCTATAATAAACGTAAATAACCTATAATAAACCTATAATAAACGTAAAAGATTTTAGAATAATTTAAATTTGACAGTCATATAGGTTAAAAAATTTTGTAAGATACCCATAAATTTAAGTATAGTAGAGAGGCTTTAAATTATTCTGTATTCAACGTCTAAAATTGTAGAGCAAAAGGAAAAATTTGCTCTTACATGTTACATGAATTTGTATATTAAGGGAAACTTGTACAATTTCTTGATAAAGATAATAGATTAGATCATTTGTGGATCTGTATATTCCCAACTGAATCTTGAAGTATGTTTTGATAATAGTTTCTAACCTATAAACGTAAAAGATTTTAGAATAATTTAAATTTGACAGTCATATAGGTTAAAAAATTTTGTAAGATACCCATAAATTTAAGTATAGTAGAAAGACTATTATTCGCCTTTAAATTATTCTGCATTCAACGTCTAAAATTGTAGAGCAAAAGGGAAAAAATTGTATATATTTGCTCTTGCATGTTACATGAACTTGAGTATATTAAGGAAAACTTGTACGATTTCTTGATAAAGATTAGATCATTTGTGGATCTGTATATTCCCAACTGAATCTTGAAGTATGTTTTGATAGTGGTTCCTAATCTATAAACGTAAAAGATTTTAGAATTTAAATTTGACAGTCATAGAAAATTTTGTAAGATAACGTACCCATAAATTTAAGTATAGTAGAAAGGCTACTAACGGCAGAAGCCAAAATTCAACCAAGATTCGCCTTCAAATTATTCTGCATTCAACGTCTAAAATTGTAGAGCAAAAGGGAAAAATTCGTACATTTACCTCGAAGAAAGAAAAGAGGCAACGTAACATCTGCAAAGTCGAAGAAGGCGCGTAATACGTGAGGCGGTTGTCGAAAATAGGCTCAAGGCTTTTTCCCGCGCGATCAAAAGGTTCTTGGTAGAAAGCAAAAGATTTCTAGAGAGGAGGCAGGTAGGTAGTCGGCCGCTTTCAGATTTATGCAACAGTGGGTAAAACTAGACCACATTCGTACGGGTTCGTAAGCCAAGATTGGCATAATGTCTCCAGTTTCTAGGTATACCGACATCCCGAGTTATTTATTGCCCTGACCTTTTAGCTCTCTCGTTGGTTTCACCACACGGACACACATACTTGTATTACCTCCCCATAAAAGTTCTCCGTTCCTGGCTGCGTGTTCGCATTGGCTCCACAGCTTGGCAGAGGCTCATCCACTTTTATTCCCATGATAACACGCGGCCGCTTGTTTCTGCTACACTTTGAACTAGTTACCTCGCTTGTTTTCACCTTTGCGTGTCCAGCTAAACGGGAATCCAATATTTCTGGACGAGAAACAGGCAATTTTTGTGCAGGAAATAATATATCCTATAAATAATTTTACATTTAGATCTTCAAAATTTAAATTTTGGATTATTTATATCTAGAGCGAAATTTCATACTTGCACTCCTTTGAAGAGAGTTTTATTTTTTATATATGTGAATCTTTTGAATCATTTGACTGGAGGAATGATTTTATAATGAGATAGAGAGTATAATAGGTATTCTAAAATTTTTTTCAATTTTTTGAGAACCTAAAAAAATATAGTCATGAACGTGAATTCTTTGAAAACTATCCATTAAGAATTACATATCCATTTATATATCCATTAAGAATTATATAAAAGAATTATATTATAAATAAATAAAGTAAAAAATATCTTTCAGTTATTTACTTACATGTACGAAAAGTTTGTATCATCTTAAAATCTTCAGGTTGAGAGTCGCTGGTTTAACTTCAAATAAGATAAATTTCATTTCTTTAAACAAAATTCGTGGTCTTTTCAATCGTTGACGAATTGAGCGCAATATATATTCTTAGGATCCCAGGTGGACCATCACCTGCTTCTTCAAATGCAGACGAGATTGCAACGCAAGAAAGGTTTACTGAAATTTCCTCGGGCCGACCGTGACTGCAAAGAATCGCAGGCGTAATTTTCGGTATAACGAGTTGGAAATTTATGACGGCAATAACGAAGTGATAATAGCCTCCTTAACCCTGAGGTATCTGAGTTGGGTAAAGGCACAGGTTCTATTTGCTCTTATTTCTCTTACCCTTTCCTCTTCGTCCTCCAAATCTGAGGAAACGTTTTAACCTTGCAAGGTCAAGTCTTTCTGCATCACCCTTTATTTCTTTCTGCCTTCAGTTTCTCGTCAAACTTTGCTCAAGTGTCGACTGTTCGTCTCTTCGAATCGAGTTAGAAGTAGATAAATTTTGTGACAATTGTGAATTTTTTTGTTGATGAATAAGTGAATTTTGAAATCTGAATTTTTTAATGATGAATACTCCGAGACGCGTAAATTTTTTAGTTTTCAAGATTTGAATTTTTTGGTGCTTTTATAAACATTTTATATCGATAATTCTTTCTTATTTAATACTTTTGAATAAATGTAATAGTTTGACTTCCTATGTATTTTATTACTTTGAGTAAAGTAAAAGGACGTGTTCTAGTGAAACCATCTCTCGGTTCACATCGAAAGCTTGTAAGTACTTAACATCAGTCAGTTTGATTCGCCGATAAATAGTCCGGTTCAGGAGTGACGAGACTCCCATATACTTCGTTGCCAGTCAAAGAAGAAAGAGGATCGAGTGCCAGAATCTGCTCACAGATGTCGGCACGTTTACGTCTTTCTTTAGCTGGTCCAACGATATCGTTTCTCGTATTTTATTTAGCAACCGTATCGATTTTTATTCCATCACGTGTCTTTTTACAGACGAATAAAAGTCATCCACACCACATGAAAAATGAATTTTACGCCATCTTTCCACGAGGAATATATATATATATATATATATATATATATCGTTCAACAAATCATCCCTGTGCCAGAAATTCTCTGCATTATCCATTCAAGAAATTCAATCGATTCTCGCGTAATAAGGATCGTTCACAAACAAACAGATCATGTCTCGATACTAAAATCTACGATTTTCCTCGACCGTTCGCTCTTCCGTGGTTAACACTGCCCATTAGCCTCGCCACTCGATTTACCCTTACAGGCCTACCAATCACGATATAAACCTCATATCAATTTATCTAACCATCCATTCGCGGCTGGTGGCTGCTCGTTTTCTTTCCACGTTGCAAAACACACCAGTTCGAGCTAAGCGCGCTATAACCACGACTCCATGAATAATGCATGGCTCAATTTTATAGATGCAGGTGGCTCTCCCGGGCATTTGCCCGGTGAAACCGCGTCGAGATTCCCTGGCACCTTACGCGGGACATTTGCGTTACATAGGTTAGGAAATTCCGACATAGTTGGCTAGCGAAACCCCACCAGGCATTCGAGTGCGCATTCAGTGTCGTTTATTGCCGAACATCACGAAATCCCATACTAACCTGCACGATTTTCGAATGTGAAAGCCTCTTGTGGCCTTTTTGGCCGGCCTTTGGTTCGCTGCAGCGAAGATTTTCGTTAAATGTCTTCGAACCATGCTCGAGCCACCTGTCGATAGAATACTATTGCGCAGACTGTTGCGCAACATTATATATTTACGTATTTCTTTGTTTTCGGAAAGTGGATAATGTGTTGGAAGACATGAAGCGTCTTGTTGACAATTTCTCGATCTACAATATACATACACTATTAATCGAAAGTTTAAAGTTATGTTGGAAATATTTTATTATATATTATATAAAATATAATATATAATTTATATATTATATATAAATCGTATATTATATAAATATAATATATAATAAAATATCGTAAAATATGTGAATTAAGAAGATAGATAAGTTAAAGTTTTATCGTCTTTATTGGTTTTCGAAATGATATGTTAGAAATCACAAAGAAGAAAATAGATTAAAATTTGAAAATCTACTGGATTAAATGAGATTATTATCAATATATCTGTAATATTAATTTCAAAATAGCAATGAAAATGATAAAAAGAAAAGCAAAATGATTCGAATGATTTTTGATATTACATATAAATTATTTAATGACTAAAGCAAATATTTTTTTTTTAGAAATGATCGAAAATGCATATTTTTCCCTTTTCCTTTTTTTCTTACAAGAATATCTTTTCGAAAAACTAA